ATACACACCATTTTGTTCCATAATTTGTTAACATTTTAAAGGTAGTTTTCTAAAATCTTTATTTCATAAATTGATTTAAATGATTTTTTAATATTTTCCTCTTGGAAAATTGGGAGTTTCTTCAGGAGTATTTTAGGCTTATAAAATTTTGGAAATTGAATCCTTAAGTATAGAGGCTATTAACTTTCAGGTCTTTCATGGAATTTTTAAACAAAAAACAAATGCATAATTCAATATTAAGATTGCAAAGACTGTTTGTGAAGATTTCCTGAATTTTTACATAGTTTACACTAATAGACACATATTTTATTCAAAGTATTAAAAAATTTTAACAACTAAAATTCAGTTTTATATTTTATTCAATTTTACATCTGTATGACTGTGGCCGCTGTAGCTTAGTGGTTACGGTCACGGTCTCGCGGCTGACGGTTTTTCTTCGATTCGCAGGTTCTTATCTTGATGCAACTAAAGACCCGCCGTGTAGCCTGGGCTAATGTTCGTTAAATCTGTTGTTGCCCAAAGTCCTCCCAGGGGCGTGGTGTGGAAGTTAGGAGAGGGGGTGCCAGCTCACGTGTCGTCCTCGTCACTTGACCGAGGCTCAAAATTACGAAGTCTGTCGCCAACAGCTGTCGTGTTGCTTCTAGTGCGGCCTTCATAAAACCAAACCAAATCTATTTGATTGATTTGATTTTGAGATGTTTATTAAATATTCTCATTTTTGATACTTTTCTTATACTACTTAATTAATTAGGATTGATATTCTTATCATATTTGGCAACAGTGCAAAATTTTGGAGATCTTAATTTAAATGGTTCCTTTAACTGTTTGCACCGTAAATCTTAATCACATACATATCTTATAGGATCTTATGAATTAGCTTTACTATTTATTTGAATGGACTTCATTCTTCTCACAAGCTTGGATTTAGATATGTTTTTGTTTTAAATTTTTTATAACATTACCTAAAAAAATTTTAATTTAAAATTTTTGGTTTTAAACCTTTGTAATTGGGGTACTTTGTTTAACCTATTAAAATTTGAATTTTGGAGTGATCCAATTTACGCCTAGCAAGATGCATTGGGGAAGGATTGGTATCATATAACATGTGTAACCCAACAACTCAATCCCCATTCTGAGAGAGAATGTGCATATTTTGTTTTGGTGGGTATTCCAATTTTTTTGAATTTTTATTCAATTATTTTACATATTTCTATAAATACCTTCTTTTGTTTGATTTTGTTTGTTAACTTATTTATATATTTTTTAATAATTTTAATTGTTTTATTATATATATATATATATATATATATATATA